CTGCCTGTCATTAATGTTCATCAAAGAACAAAAGAAAATCATTCACTGATCTTGACTGAATATATTTAATAACTTTAATTGATTCATCTATATTTTATTTATGAAAAGAAAACTATGCAGTGTTTTTAAACTTTTAATTACAGTACCTGAAATTTTGTTCAGTTGTATTTATTTATGATATTGCTAATTGATTTGTTTGTTCCTATCTTATTACTGACTGTTTACTGGTCTTTAACACTTTAATATTTGAAATTTATATTAATCTAGTTGTTTTTGCTGTGGTATTTTTTTCCTCTTGCAGTGTTCTGTAGGCTGCTGATTTTTGCTTGTGTTATTCAGCTGCAACAGAATGCTTTGTAAAAAGACAGAATAAATGTTTGACTTAATTTTTTTTATATTGGATTTTTTATCTTATTGGACTCGAAACTATGAATCGATAAGCAGAATCGGAATCGGAATTGATCAAATTCAAACGATACCCAAGTAACCCAACCCTAATCATGACACAATGTGAAACTGACTCATCTCAGAACACATCACAAATCTTTCCGCTGGAAAGGGGACTGACACATTAACACGATTTCATGGCGTAACCATGGAGATGGAATGTGTAGAAAAAGGTCAGAATGGTGTAACATATGCCTGACCGACTAAATGGCTGCAGTGGTGCAAAAGGCTTAACATGCGTATAAAAACCTGTTGCATTCAGTACAACAGAACAGGATCCCTGATTATGTCAATTATGAGAAAACTTGACAGCAGTGGCATGCACAGACCTCCGGAGGGGCAGGGGAGAAGTGGCGTGATGAGGGCGCAAATGGCGGTCCCCCGAGTGGTCCCCCTTGGTAGAAATTGGGGACCAAAAGAGCGTCCGCCCTGTGCATGCCACTGCTTGACAGTGTGTATTGAGGCATTCAATCCTGCCACCAGTGAAAGCTCGGACAGGACATGGGACGGGAAGTGACAAAGCAGTAATGTCCATGGCAATAGGGGAAGTCTGTGGCATAACAATGACAAAAGGTCAAGGAACTCTCGCACAGGTTTCGCACAGGAAATGACATGTTGGACCACAGTAGATACAGGCCTACCTAAAGCTGTGTCAAAAATATCACAAGAAGTAACGTGGTCAAAAACTAGCCCGGTGACCTAGTCCATGTATGTCTGTACAATATCTTGTGAAATCTATGTATCTGTACATTATGATTTTGACGGTTTCATATTCTGGAATAACACTATAGGTCTGTAAATAAGACCTATAACATGAATTTAGAAAATATAAAGTTAGCATGAAATACATTTTAATTTCATGCCAACTTTAAAGTTAAAGTGTACGTAAGAACTGATGAAACATCACTATGTTGTAAGCAATCAGATGTAGAGGAGATAAGTCACTTGTGACAGCACCCAACCCGCTTTTTAATCTTCCCTAACTAAACTGCTCACTCTGGCCCTCTTGAACCCTTGTTTAGTAGTGAAACGTGAATCTAAACGTGTCTTTAACCACAGAAACGAAAGTGCAGTCCAGCCCACACCGCTAGCGCGCAGCTAATCAGATTGCAACCATGCTAGCTCTACAAACACAGCATGCTGTCGCCTCTTATTGAAATTACAGTTCAAAGTAGCATATTTCAAGTGATCCTGACAAGATAGGTCATTTTAAACGCTAATAAAACGCATGTCGATGAGCAGACGAGTGAACGGGCTGTCACTTCCACGGCCTCTTCCTGTCACTTCAACAGATAGTCACATGTATGTAAACCTCCATGTATCTCTATAACAGCTCATTCCTCCTCTCGCAGGACTACATAATAAGCATTCCTGTAATGTACACAAGTATACAAACCACAGAGCTGAACTGACCTATAGTGGAGATGAAGGTGGTGTTGAACGCGTCCTCACTGAACCGAAACAGCAGGCACGTCTTGCCCACCCCGCTGTCTCCGATAAGTAGCAGTTTGAACAGATAATCGTACGTTTTCGCCATGTTTTCAGTTTCTCCTGTCTGGCTACCTTGCTTTGGCTCGGTAGCAGAGTAACGGTATTCGGCTAACGGTACATAAAAGATGCGGTTGAACTTGTTTCCGACTTTACTCGCAGCAGCAGCAGCAGCGAGAGGAAGAGGCTGGGCGTGTCCGCCGTGACGTCATCGACAAGAGCGGAAGAAGCGGAAGCGGAAGCGAGCGCTCGGGGCTTCTAACTGTATCTGCACATTTGAAATAGACAAGTAAGCTGTACCGTCTTCATTATTTTAGTTGTTTTATTTATTTATTTTAGGTTTTCTTTCTTCCTCTGGCTAATTTTTTATTTTACTTGTAATCTTGTGTACCAATGGCATTTATATGCAAAGTTGTATTTCTCTTACTGTTATATATGTTCATATGCAATAAAAAAAAGAAAAAGAAAAAGAAAGAAGGGGAAGCTTTGGCAAATCAAAAAATGTTGACTTAAAAATCCCCGCGACCCTACAGAGGAGAAGCGGGGGGGATCTGAAATACGAAGTCATATTTATTAGGTAAAATTCGAAATAATGACATACTAAGTCATAATTATGAGATATAAAAAGTCGAAATTATGAGGAAAGTCATAATTATGGCAGTCAAAATTTTAATTTCATAATTATTACCTTTTATCTCATAGTTTGACTATCTCAAAATTATGGCTATGTCATAATTTTTTACTTTCATAATTAAGTTTATTATTTAGTAATTTCTTTTTTATGTCAGAATTTCTAATACGTGTCATTTCTTTCGTATATGACAGAAATTCTTTCTTATGTGGCAGAAATTCTTGAGTTACTTTAAAAAATAGCAAAACGTACTATGTCTATGTGAAGCTTTGTTTATGAAAATCTCATACTATTTTTTTCCCTTTTTCTATTTCAATAGGCCTATTTATTTTATAATTTTTTTCTCTTTTCCTATATGTTGTATATGTTCAACAAAGCCTACTGTATTTTGTAATTCGTCATGTTTATTGATTATAATTTGATTGCCGATTAGAAAAGCTACAGAATGTACCAATGTTTGGGATTTTGCTTCGTCGCTGTGATTCTCTTTTGAACCCTTTTACTGATTTGTTCAGTGATACATTTTTCATATTTAAGCAAGTGTGCGTTAGGTGCTTCGGCCAAAAAAACAAAAAAAAAAAAGACTTCCGCATAGGATACACCCGTATATTCCATACAGTCTATAGCAGGGTTCCTCAAATCTTGCCCTGGAGGTCCAATGCGCTGCAGAGTTTAGCTCCAACCCTGATCAAACTCAGCTACCTGTGATTTTCTTATGATCCTGAAGACACTGATTAGCATGCTCAGGTGTGTTTGATTAGGGTTAGAGCTAAACTCTGCAGGAAAGTGGATCTCGTGGGCCAGATTTAAGGATCCCTGGTCTATAGTATATTCTCGCGTTTCCGGACTCCTTTGGAAGTGTCCTCCGTTCTCGCAGTGCAGTTCTTAGATGTATTACCGGGTCACGGGCTGTAGGACAGAGGAGAAATCAAACGAAGCATCGTCATTTTATAAGAGTATTATTGAGACACACCCTGATACTTTCACACGCATCTGGGGAATACCGACATTTTTGTGGTATTATTTCACTTTGTCCTAATACCCACGTCTTTATCAGGTTTCTGAATTATACATTATGATTAGCATTTTAGGTACAAACTATTTGATCATCCCAAAATTCCTATATTTGAATTTAACGAAATTTTATTTACTTTTTTTATGACAGCGAAGGCTACTGTTTATTGTAGTAGGTGGTAACATTAATCGTTGTAACTGGTAAACTAGGATAAACTAGTATACTGGAAATTAACTGAACTGTTTGTAAACAATTAATCGTGTTTTGTGTTTTGCAATCGGGAAAAATTCATGTTGGACACATTGACTTTTGTTTGTACAATGTCACCGCCTGCTGGAGGAGACTGAAACTTCATCACCACAGTACAGTTCCTGAGAATGTCTGCTCTGGAGCCACAAAGGGCCTGATAAGTAAATCTCCAATTGCGTCAATGTTTTGAACGTGTTTGCATGCAATCTTGAAAGTGTAAAATAGTGGTAACAGCAGATTAGAACCTCTGGCCTCAGTGGCCTGTCTGAAGACAAACAAACATAGTTTGTTTCACTGGTTAAGAAACTGAGGTTGGTGTGTGTGTGTGTGACCAGATTCAGGTCACTTGTTAATTTCTGTAATGACTCTCTTTCTACAGGATTGTACTTTTTACTAGAAGAATTGATTAAAGGGGTCATATGCTGTTGCTAAAAAAAACATTATTTGGTGTAATGAAATGTGTTTATGCGGTTTAAGGTTCAAAAAACACTTTATTTTCCACATACTGTACATTATTGTTTCTCCTCTATGCCCCGCCTTTCTGAAACGCGTCGATTTTTACAAAGCTCATTGGTCTGAAAAGCGAGGTGTGCTCTGATTGGCCAGCTATCCAGTGCGTTGTGATTGGCCGAATACCTCAAGCGTGTGACGGAAATGTTACGCCTCTTACCATACTGTGATGCCTTGTCCCAGCCGGAGCGACGACACAAAACCATTAAAGGGGTCATATGATGCGATTTCAATTTTTCCTTTCTCTTTGGAGTGTTACGAGCTCTTGGTGCATAAAGAAGATCTGTAAAGTTGCAAAGACTAAAGTCTCAAATCCAAAGAGATATTCTTTATAAAACTTAAGAGTCAGCCACGCCTTCCTAAAATGGCTCGTTGTAACACGCCCCCACATACCTACTTTACGATGTGGGAAGATTTGCATAACGCCGCCCAAATGTTCACGTAAAGAAAGAAGGCGTAACTTTTATTCTCACTGTAGTATTTTTGTTGCTGCCGCCGTATCGTGAAGGCGCTGTGTGATTCGTTGTGAAAGCGAAACTTCTTTGTGTGGCCTTCCAAAAGAGGACGATATCCGCTTAGTCATGCCTGGAGCCATTGTGAAAGCGAAACTACTTTGTTTAGCTTTCCAAAAATGAACACGACTAGAAATCAGTGGTTAAGTTCACAGTATCATCACAGTATGGTAAGGGGTGTAACATTTCTGTCACACGCTTGAGGTATTCGGCCAATCATAATGCACTGGATAGCTGGCCAATCACAGCACACCTCGCTTTTCATACCGATGAGCTTTGTAAAAAAACAAAGTAGTTTCGCTTTCACAACGAAACACACAGCGACACACACGGCGGGCTAGAGTGAACGGTGGCTGGCGGGCTTGAGAACGGCGCGGCCGCGGATTCGATGAAGGAGCGTCCGGAGGGCTTGCGGCAACCGCATGTGGTGACCCCGGGCTGGACTCCGCTTCGTCCACGGCGAAAGCAGATCCGGCGATCCACAGTGCAAACTTGTTGTATTTCCTCAGCGACCAGCACGGATCAGCTCCAGGCATGACGAAGCGGATATCGTCCTCTTTTGGAAGGCCAAACAAAGTAGTTTCGCTTTCACAACGAAACACACAGCATCTTCACGACATGGCGGCAGCAACAATACTACATCGAGAATAAAAGTTACGTCTTCTTTCTTTGCGTGAACATTAGGGCGGCGTTATGCAAATCTTCCCACATTGTGATGTAGACATGTGGGGGCGTCTTAGAACGAGCCCGTTTTAGGTAGGAGTGGTTGACTCTTAACTTTTATAAAGAATATCTCTTTGGATTTGAGACTTTAGTCTTTGCAACTTTACAGATCTTCTTTATGCACCAAGAGCTTGTAACACTCCAAAGAGAAGGGAAAAATTGAAATCGCATCATATGACCCCTTTAAGTCTTAAATTACATTTTTGAAGATAGTAATTGTGCATGCATATTTCTTTACATAACTAAATTTTAATATAAATGCTTTTAAAATGGTTGGCCTGGTCTGGATGGTAAAGTAAAAGCAGTCAAGACCATTATATGGCTGGCCAGGCATATAAAAAGTCGAAATTATGAGGAAAGTCATAATTATGGCAGTCAAAATTTTATTTGTGGTGTGGTGACCCCGGGCTGGACTCCGCTTCGTCCACGGCGAAAGCAGATCCGGCGATCCACAGTGCAAACTTGTTGTATTTCCTCAGCGACCAGCACGGATCAGCTCCAGGCATGACGAAGCGGATATCGTCCTCTTTTGGAAGGCCAAACAAAGTAGTTTCGCTTTCACAATGAAACACACAGCGTCACAAACAGCGGGCTTGAGTGACCAGAGGCCGGCGGCC